AGTACATATATTTAAGGTATTACAAAATTTGAATATATATGTATACAACATTGAATGATCACCAGCCTTAAGTGTGTTAGCATGCCTGTCAACTTAAGAGTTGTGTTTGTCTGTGTGTGCTAAGACTGAAGATCTGCTCTCCTGCCACATTTCAAGTCCCTAGTACCATATTAGCAAGTTCAGACTAGTTCCTTTAACCAGTCTGTAGAATGAGCTGCCCATGCAGCCTGGCACCCGCATTCCTTGGTAGGCTCCCAACCTGACTGTGGTCAGCCTGTTGGTGTTCAGTGCAAGGCTTGAAACATAACGGTTTTGTGGAAAGTGCTAATTTCTTCTTTCATTCTTGTAAACAGGGAGGGGACTGGGAGAATGGAGTGAGTTTTTGTTTTTGTTTTTGTTTTTGGTCTTTTTGAGACAGCATGACATGAGTGCACTTACATACATGCAGGCAATATACTCATATACATAAAAGAAAAAAAAATATATATATACATTTTTGGTCTTTTTGAGACATGGCCCCCCGTAGCTCCAGCTGTCCTGGAACTCACTATGTAGACCAGGCTGGCCTTGAACTCACAGAAATTTGCCTGCCTCTGCCTCCCGAGTGCTGGGATTAAAGGCGTGTACTACCACGCCTGGCTTCCTTTGTTTCATTTTTATGGTCCATCATGGTCTGAGCAGATTTAAGAGATGTGTGGGGAGCTGAACCCCGCTTACGGCCTTCAGCCAGGGGCTCCAGGATTCAGGACTCCCCAACCAGCTCCCAGACACTGCCCTTTGTCTTAAAGGCGGTTTGAGACCCAGCCCCTCCCACCTGCTGTGCAAACCTCAAGTGCCAGTGGACAGACCTGCCCCAAGACTGTGCCTGGGGGTGGGTTGGCACAACAGCCCTTCCCTCTTCATCCTGGGGGTCTTAATCATCCCTTGGGATGCCTCCACCCTCCAGTCCAACAACCCGCCAACACCTGGCCTTGTGGATGCCCAGTTACCTTTCTGTGGGTCCGAGGCGCACAAGTCAAGGCAGAGCCTCGTTTATTTCCTCTCGGTGTCTTTAGTCTGGGACCCTTAGTTCTTGCCTTCCCTGTTCAGGTTGTTTGGTTTTCCATGCAGACTGTGCTCTGTGAGGTTGACCAGCGACCACCCATGTTTAGGCCTTTTGGCGACATTGTGCTTTTTTGGGAAACAATTTGACTAGATCAGGCTTCTGTGGGTTTGGTGGGTAAGTCAGGTCGCCCCATCTTGGTCCAGGAGGATGACAGTGGATTTTCTGTATGCCAAGGCTCCACACCTCCAGTTCCTCCAGCACCCTAAGCAGGACATCAGCGGGGAGGGTCTCCAGGGGAGAGTGGAGAAGTTGGCCAAGGCTCTGGAGCCTCCCTTGAGTCAGTGTACCTGCCTTGGGACCCTGAAGCAAGGGGTCCCTGGTGGCTTTTACACACAGTATTTCTTTAAGGGTGGCCTGGTCCTAATGCTGGGTTTCAAGATGGCTCCTGCCAGGTGCAGACTGGGCAGGAAAAGACAGCCTGAGACCCATTAATGCCTTCAGTTTAGGAAATGTCTACTGAACATCTTCTCCATGTCAGGGGTATGGAAGGGCTGGAGGGCCAGAGAGGAAGAAGACTGGGCCTCCATCTGGAGGAATACAGCCCCCAAGGCATGCAGTCCCAGGGTGGTCTGTGTGGGGAAGGTCAGGGCCACTGTGCGTGGTGCTGTTTACCTCCTCCTCCTCTAAGCCCTTCTCTTTCCAGCCAGGGGCTTCGAAAATTTTAGGACCTGAGTTGTGGTGCCTGGGCTGGCTGTGGTGGTGTGCAAGTTCAAGTGGACACTGGGGGAAACTGAGGAAGGTGGTGTGCGGCGAGAGGGTGGCCTGGGGAAAACTCAGATGCCAGAAAGATGAGAGACAGGTGACATGGGCATCTCTGCATCCCCTTTCTAGGACACCAGCTGGCGGCCCAGGCTCTGCTTCTCCTGGGTCTCTCTTGGGGCTTTCACTCCTGGGGTCATTGTAGATTGCCGTCTTTCCCCAAGTTCACTTGGATGGGGTTTGTCCCATTTTATGATGTGTCCTTAACAAGAAAGATGCAGGACAAGGAGAGCACCTGTGCTGAACCTCAAAGGCCAGTGTACGGTCGCCAGGTGTCTGCTGTGCCTCGTTCCGAGAGGAGCTCTCTGCGCTTTGCTGCCCATTCATGCATGAAAAGTTTTGTTTTGAAAACTTTGATCTTGGTTATTTAAGTATTCCCAGCTGTGCTAGGAAAAGAAGAATTTGTGGTTGGCTTTTGTTCACAGCTTAACATTGTGAAGACAGAGCTGTGTGGTGCCGCAGGCCCAGAGCTGGTGGAGGGAAGGTAAGAGGAGACACATGGAGCAGGACCCCGAGGCCAGGCACCTTCCGCTGGGTCTACTCCACAGATGTTCACATCTCAGAAAAGTGGGTGTAGTGGCCCAGGAGGTCCCTTTACCCAGCTCAGCACGAGGCTCCAGATGTGAGCTGACCCTTCCCTGGAGCTTCTTAACACATGCTGGGTGTGGGTACTTTCTACCGTGTGTCTGACTGCAGTCCCGGTATGTATATCTGCCCCCCCCCTTCCCTTCAGTGCTGGGGGCAGAACCCAGGCCTAGCATGTGCTAGGCAAGTACCCAGCTCCAGCCTCATCTCCAGCCCCCATGGCTTGTTTCTAATTTGATCACATTTTGCATAAGAAGTTCTTGCACAAACCACCGATTCCTTTTCTTTTTTTTCTTCACTTTCTCATGGCCTGGGGTTCAGCATGTAGCCAAAGTGTACGTGCACCTTAAAAAGTTATTTCAGGAACTCCCAATCGAGGGTGGCTTAAATCTCAGTTTTCCATGCTCTGTCTCATGACATATTGGCTACCTGGGGCAGATCCCAGGATGGTGACCATTCAGCCACCGAGAGCAGTGGCTGTTCTGACGCCACACCTGGCCATTGGCATCTCCACCCAGTGGCCCTGTCAACCTGACTGAGCTACATTTGAGCACACCCTGTTTTTGAGATGATGATTCACTGAATTCTAGGCAGGCCTTGAACTTTCCATCCTCCCTCCACTCAGTTTCTCGAGTAGCTGTGCCAGAGGGCCTGAATTTTTTTTTTTTTTTTTGGTCTTTTTGAGACAGGGTCTCCCTGTAGGCCCAGCTGACCTGGAACTCGCTGTGTAGACCAGGCTGGCCTCGAACTCACAGAGGTCCGCCTGCCTCTGCCTCCCAATGCTGGGATAAAAGGCGTGCACCACCATGCCCAGCTTTTTTTTTTTTTTTTTTTTTTTTTTGAGACAGGATCTTGCTATGTTTATGGTCCATGGTTTTTTTTTTGCCTCAAACTTGGAATCCTCCTGCCTCAGCCTTCCAAATGCTGGAATTATATGTGCACATCACTATTCTAGGTTGAGAAAACCTTTTTTTTTTTTTTTAGCTTACTATCACTTCAGCTTAATCGGGAGAAATGTGAAACTTGACGCTAGGAGGTTTGCCCTCCTGCGTTCAGCCCTGCCAACCTGTCCCTCAGCTTGCTGTTACATTTCTGTTTTGTCAGTGTTTAATTTGAACTGCACGATATTCATTACTCGACCCTTTTTTATACTTTCTTGGGCTACTTCACAACATGGTAGCTCACATGGATGGGCTTCATATCACAGTGTGGTAGCTCACATGGATGGGCTTCATATCACAGTGTGGTAGCTCACATGGATGGGCTTCATATCACAGTGTGGTATCCCGCATGGATGGGCTTCATATCACAGTGTGGTATCCCACATGGATGGGTTCCAGTTCAGTGGTTTGATTCATATTTCCCTCTGCAAAGTTCGATGGACCTTAAATGACATCTGTGCAGACAGGGAGGGATGCCCAGTCGCCCACTTGTTCTTCCTCAAGCGTTTGCCAGTTTTTGCTGTTATTTCAGGATTCTGTCCCTACACACACATTTAATGGGATTCCTTTCAAGAAGTCATTTGCACAAGTTTCTTATTTTCTTTTTTTTTAGCGGCGGGGGGAAGCAGTACTTAAAATCCATTCTTATGTGTAATCTCTGCTGTCTTGTGTGTACGTGTGAGCCTCCAGGCCCATCTGGCCATTTGGCCCCTCGTCCCTCATGTTGGACACACCGTGGATCTGCCTCAGCGGCTCTCCTGCTGGAGCCCAGGATGTGCTCAGCCCTTGGTCATGCTGTCAGGCCCTGTGCTGGCCTCTGTCCACCTCCTCAGGGTCCCCGCTGCTCGCAGGCACAGGTACCCAGATGAGGTGGCAGTTTAGTTGTCTTGTTAAATGCATGCCTCTGTCTTGGGGCTAGCACCCTCACGGTAACACCTGTCAGGTGCATGGGACACGTTCATGCTTTTCTGCGTGCACACTCAGAAGAGGTGTGTGTGTGAGCTCCTCAGACCCAGAGGCCAGGCAGAGGGAACACTGAACAAATGAGGTCAGTAGGGAGGGTGCCCCCGCCCCCGTGCTGTCTCCTCAGAGCACCATCTCTTCACGTGTAGGGCGCCCCTTCTGTTTAAATCTGTGGGACCCCTCAGGCCGAGGCCGTGTGTGCACTGCCCGTATGATTCTGTGGTCTGTGTGGGTGCTGGTTCTCCTGCATGTGCTGACTGTAAGTACAGCTGGTAGCCGAACGCCACGCCCACTGCCATCCTGCCGACCAGTGGACATTCTGCCCCTGAAACACAGCTTAGGACATTTTGGGGCTACGTAGCAGTCGCGTTCACTCCTCCATCAGCAGTGTTTTAGGCAGAACTTTAGGAGGGCTTTGGCAACTGAGCAGTTAGCTCTATTGACTAATCTCCTTGGAAGGCAAGAACTTTAGATGCCGCAGTTAAATAACGAGGCCATACAGTGACCGGGACTCCAGATGGCGTGCTCTCAGGAGTTACTGTTATTCCAGTGCAGAGTTTTGAAGGTTGGAGGTCCCTGTTGGTCTTCATGCCTGCCTCATCTGCTCGTTCAGCAAACAACTCTCTCTCTCTTCCTGTTGCCCGCAGGTTACCATGGCTGCTGTCGACAGCTTCTACCTCTTATACAGGGAAATCGCCAGGTCTTGCAATTGCTATATGGAGGCTCTGGCCTTGGTGGGAGCCTGGTACACAGCCAGAAAGAGTATCACCGTCATCTGTGACTTCTACAGTCTGGTCAGGCTGCACTTCATCCCACGCCTTGGGAGCAGGGCCGACCTGATCAGGCAGTATGGAAGATGGGCCGTTGTCAGTGGTAACGTGATTTCAAGTCCAGCAGTCTTTCCTGCTTTTGTTGTATTTGAGTCGGGTGCTTCGGTGAAGGAGTTATTGACTCTAATAGGATGGCTTCTGCTTCCTGCTGGGGCTGTGTCCACTGCCTCCCCTACCTCCCTTCAGGGAGCCCTCGCCTCAGACTGGTGATGTTGCTCGGTTCCCAGCGCCTCCTTGCTGCCCATCAATGTCCCCTTTTCTGCTGGGCAGTTACCTTTCAAACCTCCAGTGCTTGCAAAAATGCTTCGCCTACTTTGAATTTCATTTTGATTTGATTTGCTGAATAGCCCCAGAAAGGCCCCATCTTGGCACATGAACAAGCCAGGTGGAAATTTGGAAACAGATTCCCACTGCGTCTTGTGCCGGGTGGTGAGTGTGAAACAGAACCTAGTGTCTGTTTAGAAGTCAGATAGACTTTCTGGCCTTTTGAGACAGGGTCTCCCTGTAGCCCCAGCTGTCCTTGAACTCACTATGTAGACCAGGCTGACCTTGAACTCACAGAGATCCGCCTGCCTCTGCCTCCCAAGTGTTGGGATTAAAGGTATGGGCCACCATGCCTGGCTGGAATTCTTTTTTTTAAAATTTTTTATTATTTTATTTTATTGTTTTACTTTTTAATTTATTTTTATTTTATGTGTTATGGGTGTTACGCCTGAGTGTATGTAAGTGCACCCATGTTGTGCAGTGTCTGTGGAGGATGGAAGAGGGCGTTGGATCCCTTTGAACTGGAGTTACACACAGCTGTTAGCCACCATGTGGATATTGAGATTCGAATCCAGGTCCTCTGCAAGAGCAGCCAGTGCTCTTAACCAGTGAGCCATTATCTAGCCCTTTCATTTATTCTTTTTATTATTATTATTATTATTATTATTACTATTTTGGTCTTTTTTGAGACAGGGTCTCCCTGTCGCCCCAGCTGACCTGGAACTCACAGAGATCCACCTGCCTCTGCTTCCCAAGTGCTGGGATTAAAGGTGTGCATCACCACACCTGGCTAAAAGACTTTTTTTAAAAATATTTTTTATTTTCTGTGCACACGAGGCACACACGTCACTGCACACATGTGGAGGTCAGAGACTTGCCTTTCTCGCCTTTCACCATGTCAGTCCCAAGGACTCAGGTACTCAGACTTGGCAGCAAGCACCTTTATCCACTGAGCCATCTCTCTGGCCCCTGTTTGGGAGTTTCTAGCATACCTCACGGGCTACTGGTCCCAAGCTATTCAGGAATGCATGAGCAATCAGGGCTCCAGATAGGGCGCTTCATTCTGAACTTGTGTGAGTGGAACCCGGGAGCTTGGTGGAAGCCACATCACTCCAGTGTGTCCGTGACTGACAGATGTCACAGTGCTCTTTATCTCCAGCGTGCATCTTTCTGTGGTTGGACCTGCAGGGTGGTTCAGGCTCCCTTCAGGAACACCACACTCTGACTCACTTGTGCCTCCGACTCACTTGTGCCTCCTGGCTTGTGTTTCAGGGGCCACAGACGGCATCGGGAAGGCCTACGCCGAGGAGTTGGCAAACCATGGTCTCAACATCATCCTGATCAGTCAGAACGAAGAGAAGCTGCAGGCTGTCGCTAAAGACATAGCCGATACCTACAGGGTGGAGACCGACATCATCGCGGCAGACTTCAGCAGAGGCCGGGAGATCTATGCTCCCATTCGAGAAGCCCTGAGAGGCAGAGAGGTCGGCATCCTGGTGAATGATGTGGGCGTCTTTTACCCCTACCCCCAGTATTTCACCCAGGTCCCTGAGGACACGCTGTGGGACATTGTGAACGTCAACATTGCAGCTGCCAGCCTGATGGTCCACATGGTGCTGCCAGGAATGGTGGAGCGGAAGAAGGGAGCCATCGTCACCGTGTCTTCCGGCTCTTGCTGCAAGCCCACACCCCAGCTTGCTGCCTTTTCTGCATCCAAGGTTAGGCTCTGCTTCCTCCAGGACGCACATTCACCTGGCAGGTGCCCCTGGCTGACCATTGTCGCTGCTCCCTTTTGTTTACACTGGTGCTTTTCGGGGAACCAGCAGGTCTTTCCTCTTGGGCTAAAAGCCCCCCCCCCCCCCCGTGCTCCCCAGGCCTACCTGGACCACTTCAGCCGAGCCCTGCAGTACGAGTATGCCTCCAAGGGAATCTTCGTGCAGAGCCTGATCCCTTTCTACGTGACTACCGATGTGACCACTACTGGTAGCTTTCTGCATAGATGTCCGTGGCTGGCACCTTCGCCCAAAGTGTATGCGCAGCACGCTGTCTCTACCCTGGGTATCTCTAAGAGGACCACGGGCTACTGGTCCCACACTATTCAGGTACGCATGCACAGTTGGGGCTGCAGATCAGGTGCCTGCTTCTAAACTTTGGAACTCAGAAGCTGGGGGAGCCTGGGTTGGAAGTCCAAGCCCTGGATGGTGGGGGGATGGCTGGATCAGAAGGCCAAGCTCTGGAGACTTTCCCACCTTATCGTCTCAATGATTCGGACAAAGTATGTTGTGCTGTGGGTGATTAAGCTTAGAATTTTCAGGCTTTCAGTCAGTGTGACACTAAAACATGAAATACGCTGCTCCAGTGGGTGGGAACTTCAAAGCCAAGGACTTGGTAAGGCTCAAATGGAGGCACTGAGTGTGCAGCTCAGGCCTCGGGACAGGTTTGTGGTCATACACCCCCATGTCAGAGGAGCCTCACTATGTCTCTGGTCTTGTTTGTTGTGGGAAGCCTCAGGTTTCCATCAGTGTTTTTGATCAGATATGACAAACATTTGGATCTTGTAAGAGTGTCAGGTGGGACTGGAGAGATGGCTTTACCTCTGTTTCCCGCCTTGCTTCAGTTTGGGGACTGTCCCCACCCCAGCACAGAGAGGTGCATTCCCTCCCCGAGTTGCTGAGTCTGACCGAGTGATGAGTGGGGCCAGCTGTGACCCGTGAAGCAGGAAGTGTGGGCCTTTATTCAGGGAGCCTGTACGTCCTCACATGGGTTAAAGTGATGGAAAGAGATGCCTCTGGGCATGCTGAGCTTGCACCATGCCATGAGCTTAGCTGAAGGTTGAAGACAGGTTGTTTTGAAGGTGTATGGACTCCAGAGTCTCCCTAGGGTGCCGTGGTTAAACATGCTGTAGTCTGAAGGCTCCGTGCTCAGCTCCATGTCTAAATCTGCACCCTGAGGACAAAGTCCATCCCTCCTTGTCCTTCAGCTTCCCTGGCCTGCTGCCTAGGGAGCCAGCCACTCACTGGCACGCTGGATGGTTGTCTCTACTGAGCTCCCCAGGGAACTGGCAGAAAATACCTGATGCTGTGGTCCCAAGACAGACAGTAGTCATGAATGGGAACAAAAATACAGATCCTTTTGGCTGGAGAGATGGCTCAGTGGTCAAGAGCACTTGCTGTTCTTGCAGAGGACCAAGGTTTGGTTCCCAGCACCCACAGGGCAATTCACCATCATCTCCAGTTTCATGTGATCCAACACCCTCTTCTGGCCTCCACAAGCACTGCATGTACTTGGTGAATATACATATACATATATATATATATGTATATGTATATATATATGTATGCAGGCAAATACTCATACACATAAAATAAAAATAAAATCAATCCTTTTTGAAAGAAAGAAAAGTCCAGATGTGGTGGGGCACACCTTAATTCCAGCACTTGAAAGGCAGAGGCAGGCGGATCTCTGTGAATTTGAGTCTAGCCGAGGACAACCTCGAACTTGTAATCCTCCTGTCTGCACCTTACCAGTAAGAGGATAAGAAGCATTTGCCACATGCTGCTCAGTTTATGCAGTACTAGAACTCAAACCCAGGGCTTCAGAAATGCTAGGTACTTCACCAACTCAGCCATATCCCCAGCCTGGCTTTGTAAGTCTTGACCAGTGAACATGGCATTCGTGTCCCAGTAGCTCAAGGTACAGTCATATCTCACCATGTGGAGAGGAGTGGGTGTTACTAGTGGGCATCACGCTTCCGTTCGCCTCCATCAAATGAGTCTGGCCTACTGTCCTATGCAGAAGCAGACCTCAGTATGGAAGGCCTGGGGGCTCCTCTGTGATGCGCGATGTGGTCGTCTATGGGGTTAGACGCACACTGCTGTGTGTGCCCATGTCTCCAGCATTGATTGTTGAGATTCTAACTATATCTCCTTTCTCATTTTAGTTTCTTTTCGCACAGTATATGCCTGAGTGGCTCTGGGTGTGGGGAGCAAATCTTCTCAACCGCTCTTTACGGAAGGAGGCCTTGTCCTGCCAGGCATGAATCTGGAAGCTTCGGGGAGAGCTGGGCCAGCTCAGGGTAACCTGCAGTATTCCGACATTTGGAAAGAGAGTAATTTATCTGTATTGTCCTGTACTGATGACCTGGCATACTGTGGTCATCCTTCAGGAGGTGGACTTCCGTGTTGTGCGGGAGCCTCTGGGGATGGCATTGAGTACACAGCCACCGAGCCTGAGAACTGACGGACGAGGCCCCACACCAGTGCTTTTCCCCTGAGCTGTCAGAGTTACATGATCTATGTTGTCAGGGGCCATGGCAGCCCAACACCTAAAATACAGCTCAACCAGGTCTTAGAATGTCCCATGTTGGTCGTTGGTCTCTTCCTGAGTGAAATCTGTTCTCCTTTATCGGTGTCTATAGTATTGGTTTTCTCATCAGGAAGACCACAGGAAAGTATTATTCCACAACCACCAGGGTATGCTACATGTGTGTTCACATACCACATAGTCGCACTTGGGGGCATCTGTCCACGTCACCTTTCCCTAAGGGCCCCGAGAATCTTGTGTGTGCTGTATGCTGTGTGTATCTGAACAACGTCATGGATGTGACTTCAAGAGAGACGACTTGTCAAGACAATGTAACCTAGAGCCTTACACTGTTAAAAGTCTGACTTAGTCCTCTTTACACCCTGAGGAAACCTGGTCAGCCCTACCCTGTGGGCTTCCTCTGAGATGTTTTGTTTTTTCCAACTCTTATGATGTGGTTTCATTCCTAGATTCGGACATGTATTGAGTAGCCCTGGGTCATCTTTTGATTTCTAAGTTAATTACTGTGGTTAAGTAACGATTTCTCAGTGTGACCCATTTTACAAGGGAAATTGCCCTTCAGAGCTTGTTAGATCTGGTTTTCATACACTTGTCTGTGTAATAGTCCACCCTAGTAGCACCACTAGTGTAAACGTTAAGTGCTCATGGAATAGTGGTTAAAAGTGGCCACACTACGTGTGGTGCAATGTACCTGTGAAAATGATGTTAGAAACTCGTATTTGGTCTGTAATGAATGTGTGCATTATGGTAAATGTTTTTACTGGCAAAAAGGTAATTTTACACAAATCTCCTCAATATGAGTGAGCATCAAAAACCCGTGAATTGTGTTTAGTTCCAATCTCATAAAACCATCCTTTTTGAGGGTTCATACCTAGCACTTCTGAATCTGTAAGTCACTGAACACAGCAGCATACACAGAATTAAAAGTCAAAGCTTACCGGTGTGCTGATGCCGAAGCTAGGGAACAGGCCAGACGGCAGGACTGTGTGGCATTGTTTTAGGTGACTATCGGGTTCCAGTATACTTCTGTGTGGAACACACACCTTTGCCCGCCATCACTGACTGTTTCCAGCAGTGACTTGGATTCCGATCAGTGTTGAGGTTCCGAGGTTCTCCTGCTCCTAAATCAAGTATTCAAAACAAGATGAGTGGGATTCCACACTCTGAGTTACAGAGTGGCAGTGCCGGCGATGGCTTGGAATCCTCTGGACTTTGTGCCACACTCGTGAATTCTGGCAAATATGTGATAAACAGCTTCAACACTGAGCGTCACCGGACATGGTGGGACATGCCCGTGACTCCACTCGGGTGGTAGAGGCACGAGTTCAAGGCCTGGACTGCACAGTGAGACCCTGTCTCCGAAAACAAAGACATTGTCAGTTCTGTGGTCCAGTGTTCAGACTTGTCAGTCAGGTGTGGTATGCTTGCTGTGTGATGAAGACAGGTAAACACTTTGTCAGTGACGGTCCCATGGAAGGACTCACCGAAATGTGCTCATTGGTGCAGCCTTGGTGAAAGACCCAGACACGGAATTCCTTAGGTTTCCTAGCTTTTGAACTCCCGCCTCATTCCACTGAGCTGAGAGTTGATCAGACCCTGTGGATAGTGTCTTGCCAAGAGTGTAGGAACCCTGAGCCTTGGAAACTTAACCTGTGAATTGAAAAGATGATAATAAAAGCATCACTGTTTCATCTTGAAGGTTTTGCTGCCCAGATTTGTAAGCTGGTTGTTTGGAAAGATGCACCCCGCCCCCCGCCCCACAATAGGTGCACACCAGTGTGTGTGTCAGCTCGCACAGCACCTGAGGCATCTTACTCTCATCTGACGGCTGAGGAGGTGTTGAACTTGGCAGCTTGGGGATGCTGGGGTGACCCTTTGTGAAAGAGTAGGAGCAAACAGAGGGAGCTCTGAGCAGTCTTCTTTTCCCAAAGCATTTATTTTTACTTGTACTTACATGTACATGTATGTGTGAATATATGCCACATGCATGTAGGTACCCAAGGAGACCAGAAGAGGGCATTGAATCCCTAGGAACGGGACTTACAGGTGGTTGTAAGCTACACAGTGTGGGTTCTGGGAACTGAGCTTGGGTCCTCTGGAAGAGCAGCAAATGCTCTTAACCTCTGAGCCATCTTTCCAGTCTTGTTTTACTACCTCAGCAACATAAAATCCCTTCTCAGCTGTGATTCCATCTGCCCATGTTGAGCTCAGTGCAGTCCCTGACTTAGGACTTACAGTGCTCCCTTGTACAACTTGGCTTTACAGTGGTGCAAAAGCCATGTACTTTGAGTGGAAACAGTATTTTGAGTTTTGATCTTTTCCCAGGAGAGTGATGTGGAGTTTTAAACTCTCAGTACTGGACAGTGGTGGTCACCATGCAGTCATCCCTTGGTGTCCGTATGGAATAATTTCCAGGAGCTCCTGCAGGTACTCAGATCTGCAGATGCTCAGCAAGTCCCTGTATCAAGTGAAATAGCTTTGGCATACAACCTGCGCATGTTCTCTCTACATGGAAAGCCATCTCTAGGCCCCATATAATAACCAGCACCACATAGACACTGTGTAGGAAGGGTTCTGCAGTATCGTTCAGAGCAGGCAGGAAACAAGTGCGAATCTATGCATGCTCTGCACAGATGCAGCTTTTCCCTAAATATGTTCACTCTCGGGTTCGTTGGGAGTGTGAACATGAACCTTAGCTACAGAGGACCAGGTGTATAGAGTAGACACTTTAATTACTGTGGCAGGTAACTGCCCAACTGTAGATTCCTTTTTTTTCTTTGGTCTTTGAGACAGAGTCTCCGTGTAGCCCCAGCTGGCCTGGAACTCATCATGAAGTCCAGGCTGGCCTTGAATTCATAGCGATCCACCTGCCTCTGCCTCCCAAGTGCTGGGATTAAAGGCCTGCATCACCACATCCAGTGCCCAACTATAGTTTAATGCAACCGAGTGTTCATATGGAGGCCAGAGGACAACTTCGTCCACCATTTCATTTTTCAGGCACCATCCACCATTTTTTGTGCCCCACCCCCACCCCGAACTGGTTATCAAACTCAAGGTCTTGTATTTGCTAGGTGGTCCCTCTCTACCACTGAGAGAAACCCCCGCCTCCCCATCTACCTTTTTTTTTTTTTTTTTGAGATAGGTTCTTTTACTGGCCTGGAACTCACTTAAGGCTAGGCAGGCTGTCCAGTGAGCCCCACAGATCCCCCATCTGCCTGCCTCCTCAGCACTGGGATTAGAGGCACACATCACCATGTCCAGTCTTTTTTAGTGATCAGAAGGTTGTACTCAGGTACTTGTGTTACAAAGTAAGTGCTTTACCATCTGAGCCGCTTCCCCAGCCAGCTGAGCTATTCGGTACACTAGGTTTGCTGGGTGCATTTTCCACTTAGTATATTTTCAAGTTATGATGGGTATATCAAGATACAACCTCTCTCTCTCTCTCTCTCTCTCTCTCTCTCTCTCTCTCTCTCCCTCTCCCTCTCCCTCTCCCTCTCCCTCCCTCCCTCCCTCTCTCTCCTCTCTCTCCTCCCCTCTGTCTCACCACGTAGCCCTGTCTGGCCTGGAACGTGCTATGTAGACTGGGCTGACTTTGTATTTAATCTATACAAAGTCATTTGTATGGTGGGTGTGAGGGAAGGAGAAAAAAACCTCAGGATCTCAACCTGTGCAAAAATAACTTTGATAGTTACCCTCACCTGCAAGAGGATGAAACTCCCTGGCCCACCCCCAAGGCTGGGAGACATTACAGGACCAACACCAGAGACCAAGCATCACTCAGGGAAGACGGGTTTATCTGTGCCAGTGGACCCAGATGAGCTAATACTGAAGTTCTGGGCACTGGGCCAGCTTTTCACAGTTTTCTAGGGCTCCCTTGCATTGTATCTTAACTATTACGTCATTGATAGATTTAAATTACAATCTACTTGATTACTACCACATATGCCTGCATGGCTTTAGACCACTGAGGGGAGAGTCAGGCATGTTCGTAGAGACAGATATTAAAGGCAGGAGTTAAGACAAAGACGTTCTTTAACAATGGAATTTATTGCAGGCGTCTTAGTAAGCAAGATAATTCCAGACAGATGTTTTACCAGATAACTGGTGTTCATTCCTCAAGATAGCTTTGAGGTCTTTATGTGCCTCATTTTGGCAAGCATTTGAGTACCATGTCCTCTAGTATAAACAGTATACAGTCAGCCATAAAACAGTATCACACATAAAAGTCATATTAAATGCATGGTATATCCCATTTCCCCCTCACTGGACACTCCCAGGTGCAGGCCTAGGTGCTGGGGAAGGAAGGACAGCAGTCCAGAGGTGAGAGAGGTCTTGAGGCTGTGCAAGCTCTCCAGTTCCTCTGTCCACCCTGGTGTGAGAGATTCATGCAACACATTATTCCTCGAGACGTGGGTGTGTTAGAGTTCTGCTTCTGGTTGGTCGGTCACAGTTAACCTGACCAGTACTATCGAGGAGGAGGATGTCTGTGCAGGTGTGGGACCAGACATCACCTTCCATAGCATGCCACTGACAGTTTTCAGTGTGTCTTCATGTCCTTGTGGAAACTATGAATACTGTATTTGTAAATGTATGCACACGTGTGCATGTGGAGGCTAGAGGTCAGTCTCCAGTATACTTCAGGAACCATCCACCTTGCTATTTAAGCCAGGGTCTCTGGGCTGTGGAGCTTGCCCAGTAGGCTGGGCAGGCTGGCCAGTGAACCCGGGGGCTCCTGTGTCCACCTCTTCCGCACTAGGACTTACAAGCATGTGTCACCATACCTGACCTTTTTAATGTGGGTTCTGGGTATTGAACTAGGATCCTCATACTTAATGTGGCAAGCACTTTACCAACTGAGCTTTCTCTCTGGCTCTGCCTTGTAGAAATCTGTGTGTGTGTGTTTGTGTGTGTGGCGCATGTTCATGACCCCATGTGTATGTGGTGCATGCACATGTCTGTCTGTCTGTGTGTAGGGGCCAGAGATCAGGTCTTTCTCTACTGTTTTCTGCCTTATTGCCTTAAGATAGTGTTTCTCACTGAACTGGAAGCTGGCCGTTTCAGCTAAGCTGGCTGGCTAGCAAGCTCTTGGGGAGCCTCCTGTTGTGCCCTCCAGTGCTGAGGTTACAGGTACATGTAGGTATGCCTGGCTTTGTTCTCAGCTCTTCCCCACTAAGCCATCTCCGTTTGTGTTTGTACCACCCCACTCGTACCCCCCGCAGTACCTCATTAGTGTTCCCACCTGTTGGGCTTGAACGAGCTGAGCCACAGAAAGGTTATCGGCTTGCTCAGGATTACACAGTACTTGGTATTTCGTGATAATGATTTATCCACTACATTGTCAGTTTGGTAAAGTTGTGTTAATTCTGTGATTTCAATTCAGTTGGTGCCATTCACCATCACACAAGTCTCACCTTTGTTTTCTCTGGCCACATAGCATCTGGTCCAGTTGCATCACTGGAGCCTGTTCACACTGTTCTGTATTTAGACTGCAAACAACCTGTCTTAATCCTGCCTAAATCACCCAGGCAGGCAGGCAGGCTTTAACACGGACCCTTGTTTATTCAAAAGGGTAGATATTTGGTTGCACCTGGGTGTAAACTGGGTCATCAGGAGGTCCCTGGGCAGCGAAGGTCCTGGAATAGTCGAGTAGTTTAGGGGGCGCATAGACTGAATTAGAGTCCGTCCAGCTCGTCGCTCAAAGGCCTGAGCACCCGGAGGCTGCACTGGGGCGGCTCTAGTCTGTCTGAGCGAGTTAGGCCCGCCCCTCTCGCCGCCCCGCCCCTGACCACACCCACCCGTCTGGCCCCGCCCCCCCGCCCCGACCCACAAATGTCGCGAGATCTTCGGCCGGCTTCCCGCCTCGCGCCCCGGGGCTCGGGTAGGTGCGCAGGCCTGGGGCGCGCGGGGCACGCCGGGCCGTCCCTATCAACCCTCCTCCGCGGCGTGATCTCGCGAGAGTTGCGAGTAAACAGCCCCGAATGGAGAGCCGAGGCGTGTTCGCGGCGGTGCCGGCGCCGGCGTTGCCCTGGGCCCACCGGCCTAGAGCTTGAGGCGGCCGCAGGTACGTCAGCGGCCCGCTCCGCCCCTCCCCTCCCCCCTCGCGTGCTCGGCCGCCCGCACTGCGGGGCCCAAGTGGCCCCGGGTCCGAACCCCAGACACGGACCCGGAACCGGGATCCCAGACCTGCACCCCAGACACGATCCCCGAACACCGGAACCCGAATCCCGGGCCTGCACCCCAGACACGAACCCGGGGCCTTCATCCCACACCACAAACTCGAACCCCGGAACCAAGATCCGAGCCCCGAATCCCGGATCCCAGATCACGAAGCCAGAACCCGGAATACTGTAATGGCCCCAAAGAACCCTGAACCCCGGACCCTATACTTCGGGTCCTGGCCGCGAACCCCGAGCTCTGAATCCGGGGCCCGCAGTGTAGACTCCGAACCCCGGCCCTGCCGGGTGCTGTGCAGTCCGGGCTGGCTTGGCCCAGGGGCCTTCCCCCTCCCCAACTCCGCAGTCCTTCCGACCTGCGCCGCCCGGTCCTGGCCGGCTGTGGCCGGCCCAGATGCCGCCCGAGGCCCCCATCTGACCCCTCAGTGGGGAGACCCCGGAGAGGATCTGCGCACGTGAAGTCTAACAACGTTTACATTCCGAACGGCACTTTGGGGTGACGGTTGGAACCTACTCCAAGACAGCCCTAGAGAGCGGTGCTTGGTGGACCTAGGCGAAGCCTCTGATTCTTTAAACATTTATTCCTTTTCCATTGCGTGTGTACGAGTGCACCCGTGTCGTGCAGTGCCCACGGAGGTCAGGAGAGGTGGTTGGATCCCCTGGAACTGGAGTTAAGGACGGTTGTTAGCTGCCCTGTGGGTGCTGGGAACCGAGCTTAGTCCTCTGCAAGGGGAGCCAGTGCCCTTAACCCTGAGCCATCTCTCCAGCCCTCTCTTTAACTTCTCATTTTGGAGGTGAATGAAAAGCCAGAGTTAGAGAAAAGCAGTTCCTTCCTTTTTTTTTTTTTTAATATGTAAAATAAATTTTTTACATTAAAAAAAAAAACCTTTATTTTTGAGGGAAGGTCTCATGTAGTCCAGGATATCCTCAAACTGTGTAGAAGAAGCTAGCCTGGAGCTCCTGATCCTCCTGCCTACCCTTCTGGTGCCAGGATTATAAACGTGCACGACCACACCAGGCTTACCTTTATTTTTTTAATTATGTGTATTTGTGTAGTTCTGTGTGTGGGTAAGTGCATGTGAATTTGGTGCCCTTGGAGTCCCGAGGAGGGCAGTTGTGAGCCGTCTGACAGCCAATGTGTGTCCTTAACCCCGGAGCTGCTTCTTCAGCACTGTACCTTTATTTTTTGTTAAGAACCCCATTCTCTTAAAATGTACATTATCACCAGGTTGCCTGTGTTAGGTGTATTACCCAGTGGCTCTGAGTTACTGTGCAGAGCTGTGTAGTCAACACCACAGCCCACTTTAGAACCATCCCTCATGATTTCTGGTACTTTTTGCCATCAGTACCTGTTTCCCATCTACCACTTGTCTCTCTAGACCTGCCTTTTAGGGAGTCTGTTTAGGAGTCACATGTGGCCTTTTGGGTCTGGATTCTTGGTGTGGGTTTCCCAAAGTTCATCTGTGTTGTAGCATGAATTGCTACCTTATTCTTTTAAAGATTTATTTATTCGGTATGTATGTGTTGCCTGCATTCCTGGTGCCCACAGAAGCCAGAAGAGGGCGTCAGATCGCCTTGGAACTGGAGTTACAGACTTACCTCCCGTGTGGGTGCTGGGAACTGAACCCAGGTCTGTAGTGAGTTAGCCACTGAGCCTTTTCCCCAGCCCTTCACTCTTCTGGCTGTTGCTCTGTGGTATAGTAGCCCATATTTTGTTTCTCCATCATATGGAACACTTTACCAATACAGTTTTGTTTCATGCTCCTGTATGTGATCCCCTTGGCCACAGAGCTGTTTATTGGGGGTACCTGAGCCCCACTCCTGTTGGGACCTTTCGTACATTCCTCAGGCATCCCTATAACCAGGCATGGTGTTTCCATCTGAAAAGGTAAATTCTCACAACTGGCAGCACGTAGGGATGAGGCAATGTTTTGTGGCTGGGAGGTTGCCCTTCTCATCTCCCTCCTGTTCTGTGGTCCTTGATTTTATGCTCTGCCTGCCTGCCTGCCTGCCTGTCTGTCTGGTGGCAGAAAGTCCTGGGACAGTTGCCTTATTGTGTGTGGCTGCAGTGCCTTAGACCATTAGAATGACAAGACTGGGAAGACTGGAGGCAAAGGGAAGTCTGTGTCCATGTGCCTGTGTGCTGCACATGTGTGTGTGTGCCGCACATCTGTGTGTGGAGGCCAGAGTTCCGTGGGTATCTTCCTTCATCGCTCTCTGCCCAACACAGGGTCTCTCATTGACTCTGGAGCTTACTGATTGAGCTAGACTAGCTGGCCAGTGAACCCCAGGGATCCTCCTGTCTCTGCCACCCAGTGCTAGGATTGCAGGTGTGTACACCACGTCCGGACTTACATGCTCATGCTTTTGTGGTGGGCACTTTGTCAGGTGGGCCATCTCCCCAGCTTCTCCCGGTAGTGGGTTCTCCTTGGCTGATCTGAAGTGCTAGGAGCAGGAGGCCAGACCTTCCATTCGGTGTTTGGGTGGGGGTGGAGTTGAAGACAGGCTGAGGCATGTTAAGAGCCGATGGGTGTGTTGATTGCTCTTTCCATCTGGCTCTCTGTTTTGAAATGTTGCAGAGCTCATTACTAGGTTTATAATCTTCTAAAACATTTTTATTAACTGTATGTATGATGTGTGCAAATGCACAGGTGTGCACAGCATGTTGGAGTTGTTGGTTCTCGCCTTCTGCCTTTACGTGTGTGACGGGTAACTGTTAGATGACGAGGGAGGCCAGCTGGCCCAGAGAAGTACGGGAGGGGCAGTCGGCAAATGGACCTGGGCTGCTCTGATGGTTCCCTGAGGCTCCGTTGTGCACCTGTATTTTAAGCCAGTGTTCCAGCTCGGCTTAATTGTCAGCCTGTAATGGGGTAGCACAGCCCAGTGTGCAGTTACTTTCCAGAGCACTCATGTTCCAGCCAGCTTTTAATTAAACTGGACACCACCCTTTCATGGCTTAAACAGTTCAGTCTTCTCCAGAGTTATTTTAGTAAACTAGTTTATTAAAAAGCAAGGTGCCGCTGCATGATTAGATGAGTACGTACAGGTCATTTCCCCTCACCTGAATTGTCTTAAAACCATTTTCAGCCAGGCGTGGTGGCGCACGCCTTTAATCCTAGCAGTCGGGAGGCAGAGGGAGGCGGATCTCTGTGAGTTCAAGGCCAGCCTGGTCTGCATAGTGAGTTGCAGAACAGCTGGGGCTACAGGGAGACCCTGTCTCAAAAAGACCAAAAGAAAAAAATCATTTTCAAGCAAATAACTTCAGATGTATTTAAATTATACCCAGAAGTGTCATCTTTGTGTTCTTTTATTATGCATATTATAAGTAAAGAATTCCAGAGTTGCAAGGGATGTCAACCATCAGTTCATCAGTCAGGTGGACTGCCGTTCCACTGGACTGCTAGCCCTACTTTTTTCCCCTTAAGCATGCATCTCATTCCATACTGTTTCTTGTACACAGGTTTGGATTGTCATATGGAAATCTATAGGTGGAAGCACGGTCTTTTAGGGAAATCTTTTTTATTTTTTTTGGTCTTTTTGAGACAGGGTCTCCCTGTAGCCCCAGCTGTCCTGGAATTCACCATGTAGACCAGGCTGGCCTCAAACTCACAGAGATCTGCCTGCCTCTGCCTCCCGAGTGCTGGGATTAAAGGCGTGCCCAGCCGCACCCAGCAGGGAAATCTTTTTATGGATGATCACCAGGACTTGTACAGAGAATTCATAGAAATTAGATCTAATTAGCACTTAGTAGAACTAGGTGCAGCCTAAGTAGGCTCCGTAAGTGACATGCAGAAGATATTTCTGGAGGGAACCAGTGAGAAACTGCAGGTTCTCAGACAGTGATTCTTGGCAGGTTTGCGGGAACAACTAGGACATAAATCTTTTAAGCTGACTGTGCACCAAACTAAGGAAGCCTAATGCAGGTGAACAGAGACTACAGTGCATAAGTGATATGACTCAAATTATAAAAATAACAGCTCTTTGTAAGACACGAAGTAAGTGGAAAACCAGAATTGGGTTGTCTTGGTGGAAGACAGATTTGCCCTTCCATGTGTTACATGTCTTTCAAGTGTTTTCTTCACAGAGATGATTTTTATTTTTATTTGTTTGCTTGTTTGTTTGTTTACTTATGTATGTATTTATTTTGAGGCAGGGTCTCCCTATATCCCTGACAGGGCTGGAACTCACTGTGTAGACCTGGCTTGTCTCAAACTCGCGGAGAACCATCTACCTCTGCCTCTCAAGTGCAGCAAATAGATGCATTTTAAAAGTCGAAGTTTGGGTCGTTCTGATCATGAGTTGATGTCTTAAGAATTCTTTAGCTTATTCACATATTCCCAGCACTACCCCAAACTGAGATGTGTGCAGGAACATTCATTTCCTCTCTTAAGTTTCTCAAGGCCAGAAGTCCAAAATGAGTCTCATTAGGCTAAAGTCAACAGGGCTGGTTCTTTGTGGAGGCTCTGAGGAGAGGATCCAGGTCCTGTTTATTCAGGCCACCGACTCTTTCCTCATGGTGCTTCAATCCTTGTTTCTCTACCACTCCCCTGGAGAGAGACCTTTCTGCTCTTCCACACTTGAGAGCCTTAGAAGGGCCATACCTGCTTGAGTCCTTTGTCCACAAAGCTACACCCACAGGTTCTGGGTTGGGATGTGGACATCTGTGGGGGGATCCTGATTCAGCCTGGCACAGACATAGTTTGAAGCTGCCACAGGACATTCTTAGACCCAATGAGCCGTAATTATTTCACATCCCTATTATCACACGCTTAGAAGGTCTCTAATTTCCCCAATTACTGTCTTCCACATCCTTGGGTGTAAAGGATGTGTGCTTTCAGGTTCCTAGTGTTGGAGTAAGTTCCTAGAGGGACTTTTAGAAAAGCAAGCTCCTTCCCTCTGAAGGATGCAGCCTCTGAAGCCAGACATACCCTGGCCCCCAGATAGCTTTCCCACTTGCCAGCAGAGGAAGCCTCAGTTGGGCCTCAGTTTCTCATCTGAAAGTGGGGGTAATAATGGGGTTGTGAGGGTTACATGACTTAATACAAGACAGTTGTAGCACATGCCACTTACATGGTCAAGTGTTATGTTTTTATTGTTGGATTTATGAAACCAAGAGTCTTTTGTGTGTATTTTTAAGGGTTTAAATGATATTGACAGTTGATTTTCGAGATTAAAATATTCACTAGTAACATGAAAATACTTTGACATGAGAATTCTTATTTGAAAAATAAGAATTTTTCAAAATCTTAGGTATGATTTGTATTATGTACTGGATGGTTCAACTTTTTTTTTAAAAAAACTCTTTTTGAGACAGGGTCTCTCCGAAGCCTCAGCTGGCCAGGCTGGCCTTGAATTCACAGAGATCCACCTGCCTCTGCCTCCTGAGTGCTGGGATTAAAGGAGTGCGCCACCATGCCCAGCTTAAAGTTCGACTTTTTTACAGAAAAAAATGTCACTTGATTTTTACAGTGTAAATGACAAAAGAATTTTAATTATAACATAATTGTTTTTTGACTGAACCCTTTCAGAAAACCCTTTAGGTCTTTTAGAGTGGCAGATAGAGTGGGCCTTCCATGTCCTAGCCTCACATCTACGGTTCACACATTTTCAGGGAACATTTTCAGGGAAGATGCATCTGTATGGAAGGTGAGGACTTTTCTGTGTTCTCCAAGGGTGCAACACAGTCATTTATGTAGTATGTATATTATTCTAAGCACTATAATTTAACCCGACTGGGTATGCATAGCTTAGTGGAACTACTGTGCTGTTTTATATAAAGAACCCATAGTATCCTCAGATTTGGGGGGCCCTGGAACCAGTTCCCAGAAGATCCCCAGGGCCAGCTACTCCTTGTGTTTCACCTTAGCCCCATCTGTTGGCATGTTGGGTATCACTCTTTAAAACTGCCCTATGGAATGGCCCTTGATTGGGGTTCATTGATGTTCCTTGTGATTGTTTTGCAGCTGAGGGTCTTTGGAAGGACCCTCTGAAGTAAGCAGTCCTCTTCCCAGTGCTCTGCTTGGGCAGACCTGGGCTCTTTGTCTGGTGGCTGGTTAACGTGAATAACGTAATGAAGTAGCTCTCCCTTTTCTGATGCTTGTTTTGAGACTCTGTAAATACCCAGTTTTTCCTTAAGCTTCAGATTTATTTTATGTTGTTTTCCTGTTTTGACTTCTCAGGGAGTTAGGATCTATTATTCATTACGTGTTGTGATGCTCAAATTGTCCCAGACGTGGCTAGGGGGAGTTAGGTTCCACCTGGCTTCTGATGACATTTCCCCTTTGTCTGGTCCATGGGGTTCTACAGTCATCTTGCTTATGTCCCACCTACCCAGAGCTCCCTCTTCTAGAAGCCTGACTTCTTTGTGTGGAGAACAGTACTTAAAAGGCTATGGGGGGGAGGGGCTGGAGAGATGGCTCCATAGTTAAGAGCTACTGGCTGTTCTTACAGAAGACCTGAGTTTGAATCCCAGCACCCACATGGTGGCCAACAACCATCTGTAACTCCAGTTCCAGGGGATCCGATGCTTTTCTGTCCTCTGCGGGCATTACATGACATGGGTGCACTTACAAATAGTAAATACACAAATAATAAATAAATAGATAAATAAATGCCATCCAGGACAGAGTGTCTCAGCAGGCACTGCTGGCCTCAGGTGCGCTTACACATACAAAAAGAAATAAATAGACACAGGCCATTTGGAACAGGGTGTGCTTGCTTCTTGGCACCACACAGCAGTGCTGCGGTGCCCTCTTGGTAGGTGAGCTGCTGTGTGCAGACCCAGGAGCGTTTGTTTACATCTGTCCTCATCTTCATGCGGCTGTATCAGCCTCAGCCTTTCATATTTCTGGCTTCCTTTTGCTGCTTCTGCAAATACTGATTTGATCAAATGAAGTGTGTCTTCATTTCCACCTCACCTTTGCCTGGGCAGTGCCCTCTGTTTACCCTGAAGGCTCTGACCCCTGCCCAGTGGTCCCTTCACAGGTCTCTTGTGCTTAGATTCAGGCTCCCACTGGCTCACGGTGTGCCCTCAGCACATTTACTCAGAAAGGGACGGACAAGTTGGGTTTCCTTCTTGCATGTGGGCCCGAGTAGACACACCTGTCTATGAAACTTCTATCTGTTATGGCTTCCCTGCTGGCCATTGTTCATGTTCCTGCTTGTCAGTTTGGGGCTGTGTCTTGGGTACCAGCAGTTGTTGATCTAGGTGGGTAGGTGTACTAGATCCTGGAAAGTTCAGTCTATGCCTTTAAAACCTCACTGGACACCTCTGGGTCAGGAGCTATCTGAGCACAGGTGGTGGTAAGTGGTTGGCTTCTTGCAGCCCAGGGCCCAGGCCTACATGTACAGGCCTCTGGCACCTGAGTGCTGATTTTGTTTTCCTTAAAGGAAATCTCTATTTGAGGTCTTTTTATTCTGGGATTGGGAACCAACACAAACCTCAGGCTCTGTAGTTTTTGACCACAGGCCCATCACAATAGTGTCATCTGAAAGTCTGGACTTTGGTTTACCTGTGAGGACTGGAAGCAGATTATCTAGAGCCAAGCCTAGAAGGAGCTGCTTGGCCTTTTCCTGACATTCCAGATTGGTCACATCCCAGGAGGATTTTATACCTGAAGTGACTTCTTTCTGGCCTTCCTTCTATCTAGTGCTGGTGGGTGTGGAAAGCTGGTGCCGGGAGTAGGTGGACTTGTGTAGTGCTGTCTGGGGCCAGGCCGGCATGTTCACTAATGTGACCTTTCTCTGGAAGGAGTCAATGACCTTTTAAACACGTATGTGTGTGCACACATGTGCGTGTGTCAGAAGACAGCTTGCTGAATGTTTCCTTCCACTCTGTGGGTCCTGAGGCTCCACTCAGGTGTCAGGCTGGGTTACCTTCCGAGCTCTCTCGCAGGTTCCCAGCAGACTTAGTGGCTGCCCTTCCTTGCAAAAGTCTGATTTTGGTTTTCTTTTGGCCTCCCTTGTTCTCTCTTGTTTTCCCCAAAGAAAATGGCCTGGGTGGCTGAGGATTCTGCCAGGCTCAGTCCTACGTGAAGGTATTTACAGCTCAGCGCCTCCTGGGGACATCCCTGAGCCACCTTCCCTACAGTCTTCACCATCTTAGTGACGGGTACTCTCTCCTCGTCTGGGTAAGTGCACTGCTGTGCTTGGACTCCTCTCTGTATTCCCCCACATCTGGCCATCAGCAAGTCAGTTTCCCCACACCCTCCTGTGCATGCCGGCCCAGCCAGCATCTTTCCTGGTTATTCACACTTTTCTTGCTCCCTCTGTGCCCTTTCCACATAGAAGGCTGGGTGTCAGCTGTGCCTTCCCTTCTCTTTCAGAGTGAGAGCTGAAGTCTCTCTGACCTATAGGGCCTTCCTGGCTGCCCCCATCTGCTCCAGGCCTCTTTGCTCTTCCTTTCACACTCTAAGTAGCCACTTCCTGTAGGCTTCCACTTAAACACTTAAAGGTCCCTTCTTGGGGCTCCTGTGACCTGACACCCCCACCACACACACACACACACACACACACACACACACCACACGCACGCACACATACACACCACACGCACGCACACATACACACCACACACACCACACGCACACACACACCGCGTGTGCACACACACACCATGCACACACACTACACACACACACACACACACACACACACACACGCACCCCACACGCGCGCGCGCGCGCGCGCGCGCACACACACACACACATCCCCGCTCTCTGCTTTCCAAGCACAGTCATCGCTAACTAAGCTTTGCCTCCTTGCCTTATTTATTTCTTATCTGTCTCTCACACTGGAAGATAAGCCCTGTGAGGCCAGAGGTTTCTGCCCTGCTTTGCTCAGTACTCTGATGCTCCTGGAGCAGCGCCGAGCTGGAGTAGCTGCCCAGCAGCCATGGGATCTCTGCTCCGCTCCCTTGGCTGTGGATCCCTGCATTCTGGTTGGGGAGTGTCCTGCTCCTGCCTAGCACCTGCTGGAGCCTTCTCCCCCTCTCCTCCTCAGACCCGATGCCCTGCTGGTCTTGGCGTGTCCCTGTCTCCCCCAGCACCACTTTCCCTCCTTTCCCGTCTGTAGCTCTTAGCTCCCAGTGCTCCCAGCTCAGCCTAGGGGCACCTCCACTGAAGCTTCCTCTCGTCACCCCTCACCCCAAGGACTCTGTCAGCTTAGGTGACTTCCTCAGCCTCTGTCCTTGGCCACATTGCACTCTGTTGTTTGTGGTTGGCCTCCCTTGCTGCTTCATAGTGGAGCTGTGTCCCTAGCTGACCCTGCTCTGCAGCCCCTGGCAGTGTCTGTCTTGGTAAGCATGCTCTCCAGTAGCCACTGGTTTAGTGAGTGGTGAAGGCAGAGTCTTGTGCTATTGGTTTCTAGGTGTCCTGGTTCCTCAAGCTTAGGTGGATACTTACTTGGAGGAGAACTGATTACCAAACGCATTCTTTTCATGGAGGACCTTTGTTTTGTTCCTTTCCATTTCTTTGTTTTAAAGTTAGATACTGGCCCAACTTGTGAACATGAACCATCTCTTCTGTAATAGAAGTTGACTAGCTACCCGTGGCAGAGTTCAAGGTGACTTAACCCAGTTAGGCCTGAGATGTGCTCACTATATCTCTCACTGAGACACATGAATCCCTACTAGTTATAGATTCTCTCTTGAGGCAAGAGGTTTAAGAGATTTATGTTACTGTTCTTTTTTTTTTTTTTTTTGGTTTCCAGAGTTTGGCTTTATTTTGCAGTACAGAAATCATTTGGAGCCATTTTTGAGACAGACATCATTGAAATCGAGGCTCTGTCAAATCAATACTGCAGTGCAGCTTGGTCCATTGAAGAAGCCACACCTGGGCTAAAAAGGTGCTTCTCCATTTTACCTCCTTTACAATAGGTTCCTTTCCCCTTCTTAGCAATTGTACTAGGTTAATACCACATACTGGCATCCTCTAAGCAACTCCCTAAGTCTGAAGTTTGGTTAGAGGTTTCTATCCATATAAACAAAAGCCTATGGCTCTACTATTTTGGGCCCTGATGTAATACTTCACATAACAAAATATGGAGGAAACTTCAGGATGCTTTCCCAAACCATGGAAGATTCAGTTTAGACTCTTGATGTCACAATGGCACAAAGTGTATAGATCCAGTCCTTGAGCAGGGCACACAACTGCAAAGACTGCACTGACTAAAGGATTCCAATACTGTATCAGGTTCTCTCAATATTTGTTTAGAACTGCTCCTTCACTACAAAAAAGCCAGCTTGGTTAAGCTGAACAGAACTGACCGATTTTGATTAGCCATTCCATAAAAACAAGTTACTATGTGATAGTAGAAAAACGAAGGGAAGGGGCCTTTACTAGTACAGTCTCCCCGTTTGCATTGTAAAAGCAAATTGTAATACGATATTAATTTCGTACAATATACATTATTTGCCACATTTTGAGTTTGTCCTAACAGGATACGCACTGCTGTTAGTCTTCTCCATAAATGTCGTTCTTCTTGTGCTTCATTTCTTCAAAGTCAAACTCCGATCTGGTCGTCCTCTCATAGATGTCTTTAACGTCATCACAGGTTGTCTCGAAGTGAGTTGTTGCATCATATGCACGGGAAATAAAGATCTGGCTCTCTCTTCCCAAATCTTTAGGTACAAAGAGGCCATTGATGCTGACAAATTTCTGCTCAATTGGTTCCAAGAGCTCCAGAGCTGGTTTGATTTCCTTCTTGGGTTCCTTGGTCTCCACGGTTGTACTTACAGTGGCAGTGTACTTCCCCTGTGCCACCACATTGTGTGCAAAGGAGATCATGCGAATGTAGATATCTGACTTTCTCTTGACTTGGTTCTGTGGAATAATGATCTGGCAAGAGTTGGCATCATTGGTGTTCTTGATAGGGTGGCTGAGGATGCAGATAACTCAGATCACCTGGCCTACTTTTTCTACCCGATCTTTTACATAGCTGGGGTCACAGATGAGCTGCTTACAACGGGCAATCTGTCCTTCAGATTTTATACCAGCCGTGTTTCCGTTTTGTACAATGATTTCTTCAGTTGGTTTATTCAACATGTAGGTACCTCCATAAATAGCACTTAACCTTGAAAATCCCTGTGGCAGTTCTTCAAAGCTGTAGAGTGGATAAAGGTATGGGCTTTTGCCATATCTTGCCAAAGACTCACTGTAAAGTTTAATTCTATTAATGGTTTCACAACATGGTTGATGTAAGTAGTCATCTGTTCTGTAAAGTGCAAGAGAATGGCCAGTGAAATTTATAACATCTTGGCCCAAATCAAACTTCTTATACACGTCTTGCATTGCGGTCTTCTGAGGATCAGTACCCTCAAAAGTTCTAGGGTCTTTCTCATCAAAGTTAGCAACATACACTAGGAATTTTCTGAAGCGACGTTTTTCAAACAGTCCCATTAAGCTAGATGCCAGGGCTTCGGCTTCAGTGGAGGAACCTTGTAGATATTTCCTCCTTTATAGACAAAGCTCCCTTCAATCACGTTGAAATCCATATAGTGAGTGACCTCTGTGTAAAGCAGCATCTTAGACAGCTGACCATTCGCCATAAGGAACTTGGAGATTAAGTCAATGTTCCAGTCTCTTCCTCTCTCCATAGATGCTGGTGGTTGTCCTGGTAACTTAAATCTTTTGTATAGATCTTCCAGTGGCGTTATAGATGCACTTGGCGCCTCCATAGTAGGGGTTTTGGTCCATGTGAAGAACCTTCTTTCTGTTAACTGACATTATGCCTGATAGGATACATTCCGTCAGGCTGGTGCCCCGCACGATCATGTTGTATTCCTCATTCACAGTGCGGGAAGGAGCGAGTGCAGGGGCTCTGTGGCCACCGTAGGGCGAAGGGGAGCGAGGTCTCAGGCTGTTCTGGGCCGCAGGGGAAAGGAAGGACCGGAGGAGAGGGAAAACGAGCTGCCGAGTAGGTGAGGCCCACCGCCACCTCAGATGGAAGAGTATTGTTCGTTTTTAAAATGGGTCGAGGGACTCCAGGGGTTAAAAGTGTATGTTTATTTACTATAACCTGAGAACTGTCGCCACCAGCAACCAGCTTCGTGTTCTTTGACCAGTCGTCCTTAATGAGGTGCCTGCTTCAAGGAACGCCACTCTGGCAGTGCAACAGAGAATGGGCGGGTTACTGCAGAATGTGGGGTGGCTCGGGTGTCCTGGGGCTTTCTGTATTTGCTCTTGTGGATGGTATTCTCACTTCCTGTTGAGGTGGACGTCCGTGAATCCTTTGTTGACTTTAGTCTCCGTGGGCTCTAGAGGTCACCTGTATTTCAGGTCTCGTGGGATTACAGTGAAGGTCCTGCTTGTTACAATTTTAGAAGTTCCTTAGATGCTTAACTCCTGAGGAGTGTTTCAGCTTTTTTCTGGTTTGAAAGCATATGCGGGTAGTTGCCCAAATCAGAAATTGTTTGTTGCTTTAAAGCAGTAGTTTCTGCCAGAAGAGTGAGAATGAGTTTAACAGCTGACACACCTTGCTGAGAGGTAGCAGGTTCCTTGTCTGGGTGTTTTCCTGTGACAGCACAAGGCCTGTCTTGCTCACTACTCCCCTTGTCAGGCTTGTCCCAGCTGTGATCAACAGCTGTTGGCTCCTCAGGCTGCAGCCAGCGCTGCCATTACCTCTGCTCTGCTCTTCATGAAGAGCACCTGCTGCTTGTACTGCAGGTGTTTGGAGAGAGATCTGTGCTCATGAGTAATCCAGTCCAATGCCCAAATAACACTTTTCCTTAGCAGTAGCCTGCCTCACAGCCTTCCTCTTTATACCACTTCCAAAAAAGAGCTAATCTGATTTTATATAACAGATTAAGCAGGTTGAATGTTAAGGCTTCAGGTAAAATAAATTTAACCACAGCAGAAAGCTTTTATGTCCTTTGAATAGAATTGGCAGAAAGTGTTTCACAATCAATAGTTTTGATGCCGTGTTTCTTAAAGAACCTGTTATAATGACTTGGAGAGAAATTGCTTTGTGCTTAGGTATTAAATTAAAAAATTGTGTATGAGTGTTTTGCCTGCATGAGCGTTAGTGTACCTGTGTTGTGCAATACCCGAGGAAGCCAGAAGAGGGCACTGGATCTCCTGGAACTGGAGTTACAAGCAGCTAGCTGTCAGCCACCGTGTGGGTGCTGGGAACCGAACCCTGTCCTCTGCAAGGGCAGCCAGTGCTCTAACCCCTGAGCCATCGCTCCAGGCTCTTAATTTTAATTTACAGCAGAAAGTAAGGACGTGAAGACTAACGAAGCCTTGACTGTAAAGTTGGGAGTGCTGACCGACAGGTGTCCTGCAGGTGCGGACAGATACGGTAGTGAGAGCAGTCTGAAGCAAAGGAAAGCGAAGGAGCAGGGCACTTCTTTCCTTTTATTTGGCGGCTTGGACGCGGGGCCAGTCCGCTCCGCGTTCCTGGTGTGTTAGCTTTAGCTTCTCCCTTAGCAGCTCACTTATTTTCCCCTATTTATTTATTTATTTATTTATTTATTATTTATTTATTTATATTTGAGACAAAGTCTCACTTGTCCTGGTTGGCCTGGAACTCGCTGTGTAGACCAGGCTGGCCTTCAGTTCTCTGCCTCCCAAGTTCAGGGTGAAAGGTGCGTGTGCCAACACGCCTTGCAGCCTTTTCTCTTCTCTTACAGCTGCCTTGAAGCTGTCCCTGAAAGCTGGGAAGAGTCAGTCTGGCCAGAAGGGGGGGCTTTGTGCCGGTGCCACACTCACACACACCATGTCCTCTGACCCTTTGAACTCATCAGGGTGCTTCTGACTCTGTTCTTCTTCTCTCAGAGGTCGGCTTGCAGCGTGATTGTTGGCATCCCTGCTGGATTGGGTCTGTGGTGCAAATGGAGTGTAGGACTCAGTTGGCTCGGCCGGAATGAGAGAAACCCCCGTCCAGGATGGAGAAGAAACGAAGGAAGAAATGAACGCCTCTGTTTGGGCCATGCCTCGGATAACCATGGGACAAGACTGTAGGATGGCTGCTCAGTAAGGCTGCGGATTTTAGCCGAAACAATTCATTTCTAATCAAGGAAGAAACAAGTGTGATTTGAATTTATGCAGTTTTATGAGCACATTCGCTTAAGACCATGAAGCTCATCCACATCTGGCTGCTCCTGCTGGTGGTTTTGCTCTGTGGGAAGAAACACCTGGGTGACAGGCTAGAGAAGAAGGCTTTTGACAAGGCCCCATGCCCTAGCTGTTCTCACCTGACTTTGAAGGTGGAATTCTCCTCAACGGTTGTGGAATCTGGTAATGACACTGCTGTAGGCAGGCCCTCCAGCTTGGGGTTTTCTGGTACAGATGGTAGGGTAGCTCCCTCCTTGTAGCCTTAGTTTGTGTGAAGCACAAATTGATTCTGTGCCATTGTAGCTGGGGAAGACAGTGATTTGGTATGCTGAATACCCCAAAGGTCATGTGACCAGACGTGAAGCACAGAGCAGGTAGTCTCTCATAATCCACTCCTGAGTTTTGCTTTTTAGCTTTCAGTAGAACAGACTGAGCATCCCCAAATTCCTTTTCCTGTTTGAAAACTACATCCTTTGCTTTATAGGCAAAGTTTTGCAGATGTTTGCCCTTTGATTTTGATGTATGAGTGTTTTGTCTGCATGTGTATATGTGTGTCGCATGTTATGTCAGGTGCCGACAGAGGCCAGAAGAGGGTATCAGATCCCTGGCACCTGGAGTTGCAGATGGTTGTGAGCCTCCATGCAGGTGCTCACGGGAACCAGACCCAGGTCCTCTGCAAGTGTAGCAGTGCTCTTAATAGCTGAGCCATCTCTCAGATAAGTTTTTTAAAGTACACGGGTATTGCCAGGTGCGGTGGCACACACCTGTAGTCCCAGCACTTGGGAGGCAGATGCAGGCAGATCTCTGTTAGTTCAAGGCCAGCCTGGTCTACATAGTGAGTTCCAGGCCAGCAGGGACTATAGGGAGACCCTGTTTCAAAAAGACCAAAATAAATAAATAAAGTACCACGAGTATCTCTCTAGTTTTGAGTGGTGTTGTCTGTGTGGTTGGGATTCATAGAAATGAATTTTACCCAAAATTCTGTGCCCTGTGGCCCAGGGCATTCGCACTGGTCTTCTTTTTCCCTCCTTCTATTTTGTTGTGGGTTTTAAGACATATTTTTCTTTGACCAGTGAAGATTTAGATGAGATGCACTCTGTTAAATATACATAAGTTCATCTTTTCACGTGTGGCCTTTGATTTCAGAATATATTGTGGCTTTCAATGGATACTTCACGGCCAAAGCTAGAAATTCATTTATTTCAAGTGCTCTGAAGAGCAGGGAAGGAGACAATTGGAGAATTATACCTCGGAACAACCCATCCAGTGACTACCCTAGTGACTTTGAGGTGATTCAGATAAAAGAAAAGCAGAAAGCTGGGCTACTCACACTTGAAGATCATCCGAACATCAAGCGGGTGACACCCCAGCGGAAAGTCTTTCGTTCCCTGAAGTACACTGAATGTGAGTATCGTTATCTCTGGCTGAGCTCCACTTCACCTTGTGTGAAGAGATCACGCCACAGAGGACTAAAGATGATCGCCAGGAGAGAATGTTTCTGACAGCCATTTGCTTTATTTTGTTTTGTTTTTGAGACAGTCTTAATACCCAGGTTGACCTAGAGTTTCCTACCTCAGCCTCCCAAGTGCTGAGATTGCAGGGTGCTCCCTCACCCCTGGAGATCTTGTCTTGTGTCTCTTCTGTACCTGCATTTTGCTCCTTTAAGTACAGGGTTTCTTTTCTTTTTAAAAAAATTCATTTATTTTTTATTTTATTTATTTATTTATTTATTATTTTTGGTCTTTTTGAGACAGGGTCTCCTTTATCCCTGGCTGTTTTGGGATTCACTATGTAGACCAGGCTATCCTCAAACTCACCTAGATCCACTTGCCTCTGCCTGTGAGTGT